GAAGCTCACCAAGCGCGTGCGAGAGCTCATGCTCACGTCCATCCTGCGCAACGAGATTGGCTGGTTCGACCACGACAAGAACAACAGCGGTGCCGTCGCCGCGCGCCTCTCCTCCGACGCCACGCTTGTGCGCGGAGCCATTGGGGACCGCATCTCGGTCATCACACAGAACTTCTCGCTCATCCTCGTGGCGTTTGTCATCTCCTTTGTGCTCAACTGGCGCATGGCATTCGTCATCATTGCGACCTTCCCGCTGCTCGTCGCGTCAGCAGGAGCCCAGCAGGCCTTCCTCAAGGGCTTCGCCGGGGACCTCAAGGCGGCGCATGAGAGTGCGAGCAACGTCGCAGCGGAAGCCGTGGGGAATATCCGAACTGTGGCGGCTCTTTCTCTGGAGGATAAGGTGCTGAGTCTCTTCCGGAAGCAGCTGGAGCCTCCGCTCAAGCGCTCCCTGCAGCGCGGGCAGGTGTCTGGGATTGCCTTTGGCGGGTCGCAGTTTATCATGTACGCGTCGTTTGGGCTGGGGCTGTGGTACGGAGGGCAGCTGGTGCAGCAGCAGAACGGGACGTTTGATGAGGTGTTCAAGGTGTTCATGGTGCTGATTATGACCAGCTTCGCCATTGCTGAGACGCTCACTCTTGCTCCGGACCTGGCCAAGGGCGGCTACGCCATCAAGTCGTTCTTTGCTGTGCTGGACCGTCGGACCAAGATCGTGCCGGACGACCCGACGGCTGAGGTGGTCGAGTCGGTGAAGGGCGAGATTGAGCTGAAGCACGTGCGGTTTGCGTACCCCACCCGTCCAGACGTCGTCCTGTTTGATGATTTCTCCCTTAAGGTCCCCGCTGGGAAGACTGTGGCGCTGGTGGGGCCATCCGGCAGCGGCAAGAGCTCCGTCATCTCCCTTATAGAGCGATTCTATGATCCGCTAGCAGGGAAGGTGCTGGTGGATGGCAAGGACGTGAAGAGCGTGCATCTGCGGTCGCTGCGGTCGTTTGTGGGGCTGGTGAGCCAGGAGCCGGCGCTGTTTGCGGTGTCGATCCGAGAGAATATTCTGTATGGGCGCGAGGGGGCCACTGAGGCGGAGATTGTGGAGGCGGCCAAGGCTGCCAACGCCCACACGTTCATCAGCAGCCTGCCCAATGGCTATGACACTGAGGTGAGGGAGCATGTGCTGGTTGTTGCATGGGAGAGATGGGGTCAAAGGGGTAGTGGTGGAGGGGGCAGAAGGGCAGGGGAGGGGGGCAGGGGGGCAGGGAAATGGACTACAGGTCGGTGGGGTAGAAATGGGCAGGGTGGGGGGCAGAAGGGCGAGAAGGGGAGAGAAGGGATTCAGTGATTTTGATGTGATTCTTAAACCTCTGTTCGCCTGCCGTCGCACTTTGTCTTTGTTTGCCGTTCCGTTGCCCCTATTTTCCTTACCTTTTGATCTTTGCGCCTTCCACTAATCTCCTTTTGATCTTTGTGCCTTCCACTAATCTGCTCTATTTTATCCATCCCATGTCTGCAGGTGGGAGAGAGGGGTACACAGCTCTCAGGAGGCCAGAAGCAGCGCATTGCCATTGCCCGAGCTGTGCTCAAGAACCCAGCCATCCTCCTATTGGACGAGGCCACATCAGCTCTGGATGCTGAGTCAGAGCGAGTGGTGCAGGATGCTCTGGACCGTCTGATGGTGGGCCGAACGACGGTCGTGATTGCGCATCGCCTCAGCACGATCCGCAACGCTGATATCATTGCGGTGGTGCAAAGCGGGAAGATTGTGGAGAAAGGAACGCATGATGTGCTGTTCAGCAACCCCAACTCGGCATATCACTCGCTCGTGAAGTTGCAACAGTCGAGTGGAGACTCTGCGTTGTGAAAAGCCTTCCGAGAGACCTTGCAGATGTTTTACTGCTTGGCAGGATGTGACCTGCTGTGGATGTGCGCTTGTGTTGGGGTTGGTGTTCGGGATCAAGTGTTAGTATATGTCCATTGCATCTCCCTTACATGGAGAAATAAGTGCTGATCCACATTCGCTTAATGCTTCTTGCTCTAAAGTGATTATCGGTATTCACAGCACCGGCTAGTTGAAACTAGGGCTCCAGATATCGTCGTTTCTAGAATGGATTGCCCTGTGCAAAGAAATGACTGACCATGGCACGATCAAGCCAGGTGTATGAGATGGGTCTCTGGCGGGTTTATTAGAGACTGCATCACAATTCCCCCATCAAATCTCCAGTCCTGCAATGATTTTGCCGACCAGAGCATGGTCTACATAGGTCGTACACATTTTTTCCCATGAGATGTAGGCAAGCCAACGAACTGTTTTGCTGGTTAGCAGTTACTGTCTCTGGAACGGGTTTGGTAAATGATTCCCAATGCTTGTTTGAGTAAGTGTGACCCTCAAGATGCAGTCAAGATTGTGAAATCCGTATGTTCTGCTGAATATATTGGGTTAGTGTAGGGCGCTTAGCGGATGATGCTTTTGGACGCACACATTTTTTTGTGGCGGTTGGATGTGGATTTTGACACACTGAATGAAGTGGCCCAACCTCAGCCAAACAAAATAACGTATTGTACAGTATTGTTTGTGGTATGAAAGGCAGGGCCATATTGTAGCGATCACAGGTTCATTTTCTTGAAACTTGAATTGCAACTTCTTGCTCGCCAAACCAAGTGCCGTTCGCCACACCAAGTAGAGCAGGTGTTCCGATTTCGACATGCATTCAGAACTACACCCTTCAGGACATTCGGTATCGGGCAGTGGGGACTCGCCCATGCGAAACGGGTGTCAGTTTTGATGATGTGGGAACAAGGCCCATTCTGGATTCGTGTCGAATTTACGGATAGGTCCTACTTAGGGTCAACGAAGCCTGGTTCGGGTCAGCAAGTTTGGGATCGCTACTTCGAGTCTTCCAACTTCGCGTCAAATCCGTATCCAGAAGGGTGTAGTTCTGAATGCATCCTTGTTGCTTAATGCTGCGTGGTGTGACATTTTTTTTTTTCCGCAACTGGGGGTTGTACCGCAAAACGAAGCGCAACAGCAGAAGTTGGCGCGAGACCCCGTCAGCCAATGAGCCCCCAACCTGTTGCTCAGGTTACCGCCGCCCTGCCGGAGCAGTTGGTTGCTGGTTGGTGAGCTGGTTCGCGGTGTTCCAGCGAAGCGGCAGTGTAGACTCGGCAAGTTTCCGGTAACGCAGTTTTTCTGAAATGCCACACGACGACAGAATTTCGCAAAGGACGGCGAAACTTTCAGGTTCGGAAAAGCCAAGCCTCCATTATTTGGCCCAGCATTTTCACCCAACTCCAAACGAGGCAAAGATTAGTTTTGGTTCTCATCTAGCTCCACTGCGTGCATCAACGGGGGAGGGAGAAATGATAAGGCAATGGCAAGTCTGTTTCGATTCGACCAGTAACCTCAGCGGCAGCACTCAGCAATCAACCTTGGCACAGTTCAGCTAGAACAGAGGCGCAGGCTGGCCAGTTGGATTGAGATAGAGGGGCTGATTGATTAAAAAAGAGGAGCACCATTTCGCGCGGGGAGCACCACTATGGACGAAATTCGCGCGAGGCATTGCGGACATTAGAATGAGGGAGTTTGGACTCATAAGGTCGTGAAGCGTGAAGAAGCGGATTAGTCTCGAGCGCTGCGACGTGACGAGTTACCTAGACAGGAGCGAGTTAAGAGTGGCTTCTAGAGGTTAGCATATGCACCTGTTTAGCTGTTCCAGTTAGAAGATTACGATGACCTTAAACATCGTAGTCATGGAAAGTGGGGTTCGAAGGCCCTGTGTGCGAGAAACTACAGTTTCAGGGGCGTGACATCGTCGAACGTAGTATGGTTCACAGACCATGCCCGCAAACCTTTCTTGCTTGCGAGGCTGCGTGATGTCACATGTTAACTGACCATCTCTCCGGTTCCGCTTAGGTTGAGAATCGACTAGAACTGTCCCGCTTCCGTCTTTCATCCATCTCTCATTTTCGACTCAACCGTCGTCTGCGGAGTGAACCATTTCGTTTCTCTTGACGTTACGGGAACCACGCGTTAGCACTCGACGCAGCAGCCCAGCCCATGGCGCAAAATCCGTTGCCGCGATTAGGTCCTGCCACTAAATTCGCAACAAAGCTAGGAAGAAGTGATTAAGGACGAAGCTGCAAGCGCTACTGATTCAACACACTCCCGTGTAGCACACCAGTTCCCGTCGGAATCTCACGCACGTTGCAACCTGTACTGGTCGAGGCTCGAGACCCCATGGCCGATTACTGCAGCTGAAGTATTCCTTCCCAGTTCTTATCGCGACACAGGCGAAGCGTCAGCTCTTTAGCTCGAGAGGATTTTTTTTTTTTTTTTGTGAAGCCGTATCTCCTTCTGCTGCGCGACCGACCGAACAGGTGGATGCAGCGGCGTCGCTGCTGCTGCTGCAGCTCGTTACGAATACAGCAGGGGTAGCTGCTGATAGCTGCTGATAGCTGCTGATAGCTGCTGATAGCTGCTGATAGCTGCTGATAGCTGCTGATAGTGGCAGTAGTGGCGGTAGCTGAAACTCCTAGAAGTCTGCAAAAACTGCGTTTCTGGTATCGAGTCTCGGAGGGAGGTTTAATCGCCATAATTTGGAACAACGTTCTGAAAGGATAAGCCAAGCCGCTGTGTACATACCCGCTTTTCCTTCCGCCGACTGCGGCGGTGGCGACAGTAGCCTTATCGTTCGCCGCAATGGACGGCGGCGCTACCAACAGCGGCGGCGGCGGCGGGTGCGGTAGCAGCGGTGGCGGCGGCGGCGGAGGCGGCGGCGGAGGCGGTGCGGGGGAGTTGCGGAAAGGGCCGTGGACGGCGGAGGAGGATGATTTGCTGGTGAAGTGCATTCGCGAGCACGGCGAGGGGAACTGGAGCTCCGTTCCGAAGAAAGCGGGTGAGCGCAGCGGTGTGATTGCTGTGAGCGAGGTGCGCGGAAAGGTGAGAGGAGAGAGTTGAGGAGAGGAGGTTTAATGAGGAGGGTTTGATGAGATGGCAAGGGAGGTGAGGATGGATGGAGCGCCCTGGCTATGTTATCGCACTCCTCCCCACTTCCTCCTCCTCCCCTTCCCAATCCCAAACCCCCCACCTCCTCCTCTCCCCCAATTCTCTCCCTTCCCTCCGCCCTCCACGTGCTCGACTCCCATTGGCGTCCCGTGCCGGACTCACAGGGCTGCAGCGGTGTGGTATGGTAAGAGCTGTCGCCTGCGGTGGTGGCATTACCTGCGGCCCCACCTTTCCTCCACACATTCCTTCTCGTCCTCCCAGAGACCTAATCAACCCCCCGCCCCCCACCCCCTTTCTCAAAGACCCAACCCTCTCTCTCTCTCCCCTCCCCTCCCCCCCTTTCCCCCCTCACCCCCCCTCACTTCTCCCCGGGCAGGGCTGCAGCGGTGTGGCAAGAGCTGTCGGCTGCGGTGGGCCAACTACCTGCGGCCGGACCTGAAGCGAGGCACGTTCACGTGCGAGGAGGAGGACCTTATTGTGGCGCTGCACAAGAGCATGGGCAACAGGTGCGAAGGAGCGAGGGGGGTAAGGTGCGGGGGAGGGGCGGGTGGGATGGGGGGAGGGGGGGTTTGAGTCGACTAAAAAATCGTACACGTGCGAGGAGCAGGACCTCATTGTGGCGCTGCACAAGAGCATGGGCAACAGGTGCCGGTGGTGGCGGGGTTGGGGGGTGTTGGGTGGGGTTGAGAGGGGGTTGGAGAGGAAGGAGGGTGGGGGGTTGGGGGGGTGGGGTTTGAGTCGACTAGACATTCGTTCACGTGCAAGGAGCAGGACCTCAATGTGGCCCTGCACAAGAGCTTGGGCAACAGGTGCGGGGGGAATGGGAGGGGGAGAGGGGGATGTGCGACAGGTGGGGAGGCGAGGAGTGGGGAAGGGGTGGAGTTGGGCTGGGCAACAGGTGCGGAGAAGGGGGATTCGTGACAAATGGGGTCGTGGCAACCGCATGGCATGAGAGTTTCGAAGCAAGGGAGGAAGGCGATGGGGAATACATGGGTCCGTCCATCCATGATCCATGGGCACGCAGGAGCAAGGGACCGGAAGGGGGGATAGAGGTGGTGGGGAGATTTGGGAGAGAGAAAGGAGGTGAATTGAAAGGGTCAGTCCTTGCCTGGTCTGGTAATACGATGCACACCACACCACACCACACCACACCACACCACACCACACCACACCACACCACACCACACCACACCACACCACACCACACCACACCACACCACAGTGCTGCTGGCTACAGCTTGGAGAGTGGTTGGCGGGAAACTGCTGTAGAGCAGCCTGGGTAGCCACGCCACGCCACACAGTAGACACTGCACTGACATGGATGGATGGAGAAGAACCTCAGGCTCAGGACCCCCATGTATGTACCCAACGGGCCAACCTGATTCCCACCCTCTACCTGAGCTTTCCTGACACATCCCCCCTCCTCTGCAGCTTTTTCACCTGAGCTTTTTCACCCCCCCACCCCTCCCCTTACCCTTCCCTCCCCTGTTCCCCCTTCCCCTCCTTGTCTTGGTGGTGCACGCTGTGCGGTGCGGTGTGGTGCAGGTGGGCGAAGATAGCGCTGGAGCTGCCAGGGAGGACGGACAACGACATAAAGAACCACTGGAACACGCGCATCAAGAAGAAGCTCCGAGAGGAAGGGCTCGACCCCGACACGCACCTCCCCCTCTCCTCCCTCCCACCAGGTTCTTCTCCCCCCCTCCCCCAACCCCAGGCCCCTAGCACCACCCTCCCCACCCTTGCTTCTCTCCTCGAACCCCCACCCCCCCTACCATTGCATTCAAACTCGCACCCTCTCATTCGCATCCCCTGCTCTTTCATTTCTGTTTCTCCCGTTCCTCTCGCCGTGGAGCCTCTCCCATCCACTCCCCCCCCTCTCCCCTTCTCCCGTACTACCACTCGTCTTGTAGCCCTTCTTCCATTCGCACGCCTCTCCATCCGTTCTCTTCTCTGCCTGTATCCGCTGGCCTTTTCACTTGCTTTCGCCCCCTTCTTTCAAGAACCCCTTCATGCCGGTTTGTGTGTACGGGCGGGTGGGTGGATGGGGCTGGGCTCTGGGGGGGTTCCGGTGGTGTGTGTGCGTGGGTGGGAGAGAGGGGTGTCGTCGTGAGAGTGTGGAGTGCAGGTGTGCTTGTGTCTCCTGCACCTTCCTCTCCCTCTCCATCCTCTCGTCTCGATCATCTCCATCACTCTCTCAAATCTTCTCAGATTATCCCCTCACCCCCCTTCGCTGCCCTCCTCTCCTTCCCTCCCCTCCTCCTTCCTCCCCCTCTTCCTCCCCCTCCCCAGATCACGTACCCAGCAAGCCGCACAAGAGGGGCCCTCCCCCAGGTAGCGCCTCCACCCGCCCTCACAAGGGCGTCAAGAAGCCCCCCTTTCCTCCCGCTTCCACTGCTGCCGCTGCAACCACCGCGCATGCAGCTCTTACTGCCACGGTTCCAGGTCTTCAGAACGCTGCTGCTGCTGCTGCTGCTCTCCCTGATCATCATGCTGCTTCTGCTGGGGCTGCGGCCGCTGCATGCCTTTCGCCTCCCGATCCTTTCACTGCTGCTGCTTCCGCTGCTGTTGATGATGATGGTGGTGTTGCTGCAACACCCCTTCCCCTGCCTCCTCCGGCTACACATGGTACCGCTCCTCCTCCCCCCCCCGCCAACCCCACAGCCACCACTGCAGGTCCATCTACCTCTGCTTCCGCCTCTATCTCTACCACCTCTGCCTCCTCCTCCCTCACTCTCCCCTCCTCTCTCCCACTCTCTCTCCCCACACACGCGCCCAGCCACCCTGCGGCCCTCCATCTTCCAGCCTTTGCTGCCGCGTCTGCTGGTGGGAATGTTTCAGGAGGCCAGTATAGGTCGGAAGTGGAGCGGATGGGTGTGGAGGAAGGGAGGGGAGGAGGAGGGGAGCAGTGTTTTCCCCAGAGGCAAATGGTCAAGTGCGAAGGGTTGGGAGGGGAGGGGGCGGGAAGGGAGGGGGGGGGTGTGATGGGAAAACGGGGGAGGGGAATAATGGGTGGAGAAGGAGAGAGTGGGGAGGGTGAAATGGGGGAGGGGGGTGTGGGGGGGTGGGGAGAAGGAAGAGATGAGGGAGGAGGAGGAGGAAGAGGAGAAGGGGGAGGAGGAGGAGGAAGAAGAGGGAGTGAGAAGGGGAAAGGATCCGCCTCAATGGAGAGCTTGGAGCAAGCAGCTAAGGGGCTTGAGAGCCTTCTGAGTGGCAAGACAGAGGGGGACCTGCAGGAGCTGCTGCAGCAGCTGCAACAGCTTCAGCAGCAACAGGAGGAGGAGCAGTCACACAAGGGAACACAGCAGCAGCAGCAGCAGCAGCAGCAGCAGCAGCAGCAGCAGCAGCAGCAGCAGCAGCAGCAGCAGCAGCAGCAGCAGCAGCAGCAGCAGCAGCAGCAGCAGCAGCAGCAGCAGCAGCAGCAGCAGCAGCAGCAGCAGCAGCAGCAGCAGCAGCAGCAGCAGCAGCAGCAGCAGCAGCAGCAGCAGCAGCAGCAGCAGCAGCAGCAACAGCAGCAGCAGCAACAGCAGCAACAGCAGCAACAGCAGCAACAGCAGCAGCAGCAACAGCAGCAACAGCAGCAGCAGCAGCAACAGCAGCAGCAGCAACAGCAGCAGCAGCAGCAGCAGCAGCAGCAGCAGCAGCAGCAGCAGCAGCAGCAGCAGCAGCAGCAGCAGCAGCAGCAGCAGCAACAGCAGCAACAGCAGCAGCAGCAACAGCAGCAACAGCAGCAGCAGCAGCAACAGCAGCAGCAGCAGCAGCAGCAGCAGCAGCAGCAGCAGCAGCAGCAGCAGCAGCAGCAGCAGCAGCAGCAGCAGCAGCAGCAGCAACAGCAGCAACAGCAGCAGCAGCAACAGCAGCAACAGCAGCAGCAGCAGCAACAGCAGCAGCAGCAACAGCAGCAACAGCAGCAGCATCAACAGCATCAGCAGCAAAAGCAGCACCTACAGTCGGACGCATGTGCTGGGTCCCCCAGCAGTTCTGTGAAAAGGAAACCTCCGGGAAATGACGTGGGCAGCACGAGCACTCACGGGCAGCAGTTGCAACGGCTCAAGTCCTCGTATGGTGCCGTGGGTGATGGTGGTGGTAACAGGGGCGCATGGGCCAAGGTTGAGGAGCAGGGGGCGGCGGAGGGGCAGGGGGCAGTGACAAACGCTGCACTGGCACTACTGGGTGGGAATGGCGTGTGGAGGAGTGAGAAGAGGGGTGGACAACGAGGCAGAGGGGGGGTGCAGGGGGTGAAGGGCGAGGAGGGGTTTCCAAGCGGGGGTGGGATGAGGGAGGAAAGCGGGAGGGGGAGTGGGAGAGGAGAGCGCAGAGGGTTCGAAGGGAGGGCAGAGAGGGGGGAGGGTGAGGGTGAGTTTGAGGGTGAGGGATTATATGGTGGTGGCGGGAGAGAGGTGGACCCTGGTGCTAGTAATGGTGCTGCTGCCACAGATGGTGCTGCGTCTGCTGTTGCTGGTGATGCAGGAAGGGCTGCAGGGGGTAACTCTAGAGCGATACAGCTAGCAGCAGCAGCCAACGCAACAGCTGACGCAGCAGCAGGAGGAGAAGCAGAAGCAGGAGGGGCAGCAGCAGAGAGTGGTGGGGGGACAGCAGAGGTGTCTCCTACAAGTGTGATCAGGCAGCTACTGCGCGCTGCTAGACAGTCCGGCCGTGCCGCCGCTGCCCCCACCGCCCCTCCCCTCGACCCCTCTGCTGCTCTCGCTGCCTCCCTCGCCAACCACCACCAAGCCACAGCCCCCGCTCTACCTCACCACTCGCACCACCCCCACCACCCGCACCACCCACACCACCCGCACCACCAGCACCATCACCACCACCAGCATCACCAGCACCTTCCCCACGCCTCCCCTTCCCCTCCTCAAGCAGCAGCAGCTGAGGCGGCGGCGGCGGCGGCAGCAGCGGTGGCAGCGTCGGCAGGGTGCTCTGGGGGATCCCCAGCGCCCGGGTTGATCTCCGGGTTGTCTCTGGAGCATCTGCAGCGCGTGGCATCGCTGCTTGCTGCCTCCAACCACCTTCCTCGAGCTCTGGGTGCTGCGGCACCACCAGCTGCAACAGGACCGGGAATAGAGGCTGGCGGCGCTGGAGGGGATAGCGCTGCTGCTATGGCTGCAGCGGCAGCGGCGGGAGCTGCTGCGGCGGCGGCTGCTGCTGCTGCCGCTGCTGCTGGTGGCTCGTCTGCTCCGATGGGCTCATCCCCGTTCCTCCGTCCGTACCCGTACACACACTCCATGGCTCACCCCTACTCACACTCTCTCTCACAGTCGATTCCTCGACCGTACACGCACCCGCACTTGCATGCACTGGCACAGTCGTTGGTGCCGGTGCTGGGCCATGCAAGAGGATCTCTACCTGTGGTGCGTTCCCTTCCCAGTCAGCCCCCCTCAGGGCAGGTGCATGGGGCGTCGGGGCGTGGAGAAGGTACGGAGGGAGGAGAGGAAGAGGAGGAGGCGAGGAAGGCAGAGCAGCGGGAGCAGCGCGAGGGCGAGCAACAGAGGGGCGATGGTATGGGAACAAGGCATCGAGGATCGGAACAGAAGAGGGGTGCTGGCGGTGGTGGTGGTGATGGCGATGGTGGTGCTGCTGATGATGAAGAGGAGAAGGGGAATTCAGGCAGGAGAAGGGGCTCTGGGTCACAGGAGCAACGGCAGAGTCAGGGTGCAGGGGAAGGTGGTGGAGAGAGGGTGGTGGAGGGAAGGACACAGACAGGGGCAGCGGCAGGGAAAGGTGGAGATAGGGAAGATGATAGAGTTGAAAACAGGATTGGAGGTATGGTGGATGGGGCAAGAAGATGTCTGGAGGGACTGGCCCCTCTATCCACATCATCAGCTGTATCAGCTGCAGCTACAGCAGCAGCAGCAGCGGCAGCAGCATCAGCAGCAGCAGTAGCAGCAGTGCAATGCTCACGGCCACCTCTTGCTCCTTGCTCTGCCGCCTCCTCCTCTTTCTCTTTCTCTGCCTCTGCCTCTGCACCTGCCTCTGCTGCCGCCTCTGCCTTCTCCCCTGCGTCAAGCATCCTACCACGGTTACCACTGCTCAAATCCATGCACCCGCCCTCATCAGCCCCAGCAGCAGCGCTGCCACCAGCGCCAACAGGAGCATCAGTAGCCGCAGCAGCAGCAGCAGCAGCTTCTCAAGCAGCGCTTGCAGGGGCACGGAAGCGGCCATCCGCGTTCAGAGTGCTATCCGTGGTCATTCCTTCTGATAACGGCCGTGCAGACCACCTTCCCTTGGCCGCTCCCTCGCCCGGAGCAGGAGGCGCAGCAGCAGCAATGACTGCCGCTGCGGCGGCTGCTGCTGCGGCTGCGGCGTTCTCCTCTGCTGCTGCCGCTGCTGGCGGGGCTGCTGCAGGGGGGTTGCCAGGGGGAGGGCATGCCTTCATGAGCCCCTTTCCTCCCAGAAGGTTCGTCCGTCTGTTGTGCATGCCTTAATCCATGCGCCTTTGATTGCTATTTCAGTGTGTTGTCTGTCTGTCTGCTCTCCGCTTACCCTTCACCCCATCCTCTTCTTCCCTCGTCACTAACTATCCACATTTTCTTCAGCTCACCTCCCGTTTCTCCCAACACTCTTCCCTCTCCCATCCCCACCACACGCTCCCATTCCCCCTCTCACCCCACCAGTCCATGGGGCAGCGATGGCCAGTTCTGGGACATGGCTTCAGAAACAACAGAGATGGAGGGGGTGGTGCTGCCAAGCCCCATTCCCGTTCACTCACCTCCTGTTTCGCCCCACGCTTCCACCCCCCCTCCCGCTCCCTCCCATCCCCACCCCCCTCCCATCCCCTGCTCACCCCGCCAGTCCATGGGGCAGCGATGGCCAGTTCTGGGACATGGCTTCAGAAACTACGGAGATGGAGGGGGTGGTGCTGCCAAGCCCGCACATCATCCCGCCCACGCCCTTCAGTGCCGCCTTCCCCAAGCCGCACAGCGCGGGCGCAGCCGTGCGGGAGCTCACGGCGTTTGACAAGCCCTTGGTGTCGCCTGCTGTGCCCTTCTTTCCGCGCACGCGCTCGTTTATGAAGATGGTGCGGAGTATTGCGGAGGAGGAGGGGGCGGAAGGGCAGGAGGGGGTAGAGGGGACAGAGGGGCAAGGAGGGCAAGAGGGACAGGAGGGGCGTGAGCGGCAGGAGGGGCAGGAGGAGGATGTGGAAGGGCGTGGTAGGAACAGTGGTGGTGTTGGCGAGGGTGCTGGTGTTGATGGTGGCAGTGGAAGAGACGCTTCTGGTGGTGGTGCTGCTGCTGGTGATGGTGGTGGTGGTGATGGTGGTGGTGGTGGTGTTGGTGGTGGTGGTGTTGGTGGTGGTGGTGTTGGTGGTGGTGGTGGTGGTGGTGGTGGTGGTGATGGTGGTGGTGGTGTTGGTGGTGGTGGTGTTGGTGGTGGTGGTGGTGGTGGTGGTGGTGATGGTGGTGGTGGTGTTGGTGGTGGTGGTGTTGGTGGTGTTGGTGGTGGTGGTGTTGATGGTGGTGGTGTGGAGAGTGGTGATGGTTGTGTGGGGAGTGGTGATGATGATGGCGATGGTGCTGGTGGTTTGAGGGGAGGGAGTGCCAGCAGTAGTGGTGCCGCGAGTGCTGCATTGAGCGAAGGAGGAGGAGGATCAGGAGGAGCAGGAGGAGGGGAGGAAGGGGGGAGAGTAGGAGAAGAGGCAACAACAGCAAAGCAACATGAACCAAACTCCTTAGAAACAACTGCAGCTGCTTTCCTCCCTGGCGCTCCTGCTGCTGCTGCCACTGCTGCTGTTGTTGCTGCTACTGCCAGTGAAAGTGGGTCAGGAAACAACGGCAATAGTAGAACAACCACCGCTGCCGCTGCCACTGGTACTGATACTGACTCTCTAGACGCTCCTGCGAATGCAGAAACAACAGCAGAAACAACAGCAGTCCCTACCGTAACAGTGGCAGAAGCAATAGTAAGCGCGGCAGCAGCACCACCAGCAGCAACAGCAGCAGCACACGAGCCACTAACTTCAGGCTCCAGGGCTGTTGGATCAACCGCGGCGGGGCCGTCGTCCATGGGACGGCTGGGAGGCAGCTCCATTATGCCACCGCCCCGCTTCTCCCCCGCCCCCCCTGGCCTTGCAGTAGTGGCAGCCGCAGCAGCGGCAGCAGCAGCAGCAGCAGCAGCAATGACTGGACCCGTGGAGCTTCTGCCAGTGAGTGCCGCCAACTACCCTCTCTCTGCTGACCCCCCAGCTCCCTTTCTTCCCCTCCCTCTCATGCTCTTCTTCTCTCCTTCCCCCTCACGCTCTTACCGTCTCCCTCCCCCTCACGCTCTTCCTCTCCCCCACTCACATCTCTTTCCTCTCCCCCACCGTCAACCCGCACCCTTTTCCTCTGCAGGCGGACCCGTCAACGAGTCTGGTGTCCCCGTTGCCGCTGAGCTACTCACGCTCCAATGCCACGCCACGCACCATCCCGCCACGCCCATGGCTCTCCCTCGACATCCAAGACACCGCTGATGACGCTCGCTGAGGCGGATATAGAAAGCTTCAGAGGGCCGTGATCAAACTTTGAGAGTTCTCAAAGATATTTATCACTCTCGTTGCCCATATGCTACTGCTCACTTGACACTAGTCACCACCGCCGTGTTAAGTCAGTGGTTCCTAAGGGGCTGCTGCTGCTGCGACCGGACGTCCAGCATCCATGACACTGATACTTGCTACTTGCTGAGGTGGTGGTGGTGGTGTCTGAGACTGCCTGAGACTGCCTGAGACTGCCTGAGACTGCCTGAGACTGCCTGAGACTGCCTGAGATACTCTTGACAACCACCTGGATATCCATGGCCTTGCTGTTGATGCTTGCCGATACCGGTACTGCTGCTGCTCCGTGTCGCTATTGCTGCTGTGGGCCCCACTGGCGCCACCATGTGTCCTGTGCTGTATGCGCCTGCTGCAGCTGCTGCATGTATTATAACTTACCACAGTACTCACCCTAATAACTCTAGCGTAGTTCTTAGCAGCTGGTGCTAACATCTTGTTTCCCCGTTCAGTTAATAGGGATGGAAGGAGAGCCAATCTCTTGCGGCCCCTGTGGTATGGTGTGGTGTAGTGTGGTGCAGCGTGGTGTGCTGTGAGAAAAACGAGGGATTAAGGTTCTTGTTTGTGAGGTTCTGCAGTATTCTCGATTTTCTACTATCATAGTTGTGAATTGGTGGTACACGCAAGGATAAGTGGTGTATTCGCATATCGGCCAGGGCTATAGCGAGAACTAGGAAACAAATTCTTCCATTCATTTTCCTAGCTTCCGAATTTGCAGCAGCTCCTGAACCTCTCGCCAGCAGCAATTGCAGCTAGTGCTGCTGCAGCGCCGTCGTCCTAGACGGCTAGCCAGCCGCCCGTCAGACTGACTGACGGACCGGCAGATCCTTGACCGACCGACCCGAGATCAGCTGTCGCTCGTACAACGCGTCAGAAACCGAAGGCGATCCGTCGTGAAGATATCATTGCTTATGAGCGAACGCGCTACGGAGTGGAGGGATGTGAATTGCTAAGACAATAGCTCCCCGCCTCTCTCACGGTTATCGTTGGGCTGGCTACTCGGGAAGCAACGAGTAGATTTCCAGATCGCTCCTCGCGCCCGCCCTCAACGCGCCCCGTTTTCGTCACTCCTCTCTCCCCGCCCCGCTCTTCCCGCCCCGCTCTCCCCGCCCCGCGCTCCCGGCTCCGCGCTCCGCTCCCCGCACGCGCAGATGCTACAGCCTCTCGCCATGGCCTTCCGTCTAGCCTCTCTTGCGCGCAGACCCGCCGCCAGTCACGCCGCCAGCGCCAGTGCGGGGCATGCTTCGCTGTCGCTGTTGCAGCAGCAGCACGCTGCAGTAGCTCACGCGCGGGGATTCCTGGGATCAGGAGCAGCGAGAATAGCAGCAGCAATCGCGGGAGCAGGAGCAGCAACAGCAGCAGGAGCAGCAACAGCAGGGGCAACAGGGGTAGCAGCAGGTGCGGGAGCAGGCGTTTTAAAACAGCTGTTGCGTGCTGGCGTGAGTGGTTCGGCGAGAGCTGTGGTGTTAGAGGCATTCGGAAGGAGCGCAGGTAGGAACGGATCAGCTTCTTCTGCTGCTGCACTGAAAACAGGGGCAGCTGGAGCAGCAGGGGCAACAGGGGCAACAGCCGCGGCAGTGGCAGCAGCAACTACAGCGGCAACGGCAACGGCAGCGGCTGCAGCTGCAGCAACAAGAAGTCTCACACTTCCTTCTGGCTTCGCAGTGTCATTGGGCTCGCTGAGACAAAGAATACAGCAAGCCGTGCAGCAGCAGCAGCAGCAGCAGCAGCAGCAGCAGCAGCAGCAGCAGCAGCAGCAGCAGCAGCAACGTGTGCTGATGCTGCCACGGCTACTGCTGCAGCAGCAGTTGAAGTGGAGATCTCCGCCTCTCCCGCTCCTCGCCTCTCGTGCTCAACCCCTCACTCGCCTCCCACTTCGGGCTCTCGCCTTCACTCGAACCTTCACCAGAAGCTTCGCCTCGTGGGTGCCTCAACGCGGTCCAAACTGGCTTCAACACCGACAGTCGTACGCCCCCGACCCTTTTGCCCTTTTGAGTCGACTCAAAGTCCCCCCTTTGCCCTGCTCTTGCTCTTGCGGTTTTCATGCCAACCTAGTATTTCGTGTTTACCTTGATAACTTCACCCCACCTCTCTTCCCGCCACCCCACATCTGCCCCCACCTGTCCCCCACCTGTCCCCCACCTGTCCCCCACCTTCCACCCGACCTGTCCCCACACATGCCCCCCCCCACCTCTCCCCGCCTCTCCCCCCCCCCCCCGCCTCTCTCCCCCTACCTCTACCCCCACCTCCTTATCACCTCCGCCTCCTTGAGTCCACCCAGCAAGCAGGCATGGGCGTGCAGGCATCCAGACGCCGTGGTGTGGGCGCTCATTGCTGCGACTGTGACAATGAGAGCCTCCCTTCTC